GTAGTTATATGGGTACTTTATCTGTCATGTATCATTTTGTATCACAAAAACCAAAAAGTTGTTTGTGCATGAAAATCTTAGTGGATCAGTAATTTCAGAAATACTCTGACTGGGTTGAAATCCCCCAAATCTCCCTTCTTCCCATTTCTAATGCTGCTTTAAACTTCAGGCAACTGAACTTCAAGCTGCTGCAAAGGTACTTAATAAAATGATCTGTGATGGTGCAGCAGGCAGGCATAGTGACTGAGAGGGCCTGCTAGTCACCACTTCTGCTTGTTAATGAGATTTTATTGGCAAGATTAACAGCCTTTGTATCATAACAGTGGCAGCAAGCCAGGTAAAACAGCTGCTGCTCATATTGTCTTGGTTGTAGGACACAGAGGCATGTTAACACCGTGTTACTGGAAACACATATGGCCATGTAGCAATGCTGCATGAGTTAAAAGGCATATAAAACTTTTTTTTTTTAAATGTACATCCTTCAAAGAAGAGGGAAAAACCAGATGAGGATATATTCAGCAATGTTAAGTACTTTATTTGAAGATGAAATCATTAATCGAGTGGCTATAGGTGCCAAGAGAAGCAACTTGCATTAAATGAATAGAGCCCTTTGTATTTGCTGCAAATGTGTGAACAAAGGGTTATACGACTGCAAAGTTCACACACACCTGCATTTATTTAGAGCTCTGACAATTTTATTGATTGCAGAGGTGTACATTCACAAATCTTTGGCAGAAAATGAAAGTGAAAGCACTGGCTTTTAAGCTATTTTTCAGAGTTTGGATATAGCTTTAGGAAACATCCTAATTTACTTATGACGGCGGCTCAGCATATGGAAGCCTCCACAATAGCTGAATGGTAGGAAGACAAAGAAATTCCAGTCTTCTGCTGATAAAAAACTCAATTCAAATTGAGTCATAATAGTTCAGCTGTCTTGACCAAAGGAAGGGGAGAGAATAGGGTGCCTTGTGATTTTCCCCCTTTTCGCCCTCACCCGCCCTCACTTTTCTTCTTCTTTCTTGTGTCTGAATCTTTTATCTGTGTATTCACCCGGGGCTCTTCAAAGTAACAAGCCTCCTTCTTTTTCTCCGGTACTGGACTTGGAACCCAAATTAGAGACTGCTTGATTAGAACGGAGAGGAGGGAGCCAAGAGAGAGAGGAAGATGTGGGTATTGGACAAAACAAATCGCACCCCTACAAAGTGCCTTTTATCCAAAGACCCCAAGGCTCAAATACCCCCTTCCCTACCCAAGCAACTGTGGCCCTGCTCGTTTTTGTCTTATCATTTATTTAGTCACTCGTTGATGTTTTCTGTCTCACTCTTTTAGATTAGAGAAAGAAGGAATTTGTTTTCTACGGTAAATGCTAAATGGCGAGAAACTGCACAACATAAGTTATCTGGCTTAGGAGTAGGTCAGGAATTTTTTTTATCTGACCCAATAAAAAGTGCCAGTGCTGTTTGACCACTCCCTCCTGGGTTCTATCTAAGGGTGTCATCCTACAGGTCCTCAGTCCGTCTACTGAGGGGGGTTTCACAGCATGTTAGGTTAGGTCTAGTTTCTGGGGTTTATATAGCGTCAAGGCATCTCTAAGCTGTCTGTCTGCCATCGGAAGCTCAATGAGAAGAGACATGTTAACAGGCAGACCCCAGGCCCACTGCTGTTAAAAGCCATGCAATATGTAGGAAAACAGCCTCTTTTGTCAGCGGGTTGGTCAGACAGAGACCACGACTCTCCTCTTCTGTACCACCCAATAAAAGTTTTATCTGCATTTTAAAGCTAATCCATTATTTAAAGCAAGAAGGAAGAGATTTTAACACAAACCAGTCAACAAAAAAGCAACATATGCATTAATTTTAAGTCCAGCTGTGTAGAAATTTACCAGTGTTTTTTTTAGTTTTATATATATCCAAAACATTAACAATGCATTTGAAGACATAAGAATGTTTTAGCATTGCTATATACAACATACAAAATAATCCCAAGTACCTCTTGGTTTAAAATAGAAAAAGGCAAAAGCCAAGTGGAGAGGATCCTTCAGGCTTCCCACAGTTTAGCTAAAGATCAAAACAATGAACCCTCTGTTTGCATTCTTGTGGTGTCTGGGCAAGATGAGGCACCCCACTCTCAGAGCTGCCCCTTCAATTTATGCAAAATTACCTCATGCAAATTTTAAGAAAAAAATTGTTTCTGTATATATGCTACTTAATTGCTGGATTTCTTAATTCATTTTATTTCTTTTTCCCACTTCAGAAACGTATAACTAAGCAGCAAGAGAGAGCTCCTTATTGTCTGAAAAGAATGAGTTTGAAACCTAGTCATTCTGACCTGATGACCTCAAGCTGCTCTCTCTGGATGATATTTTCTTTTCATGTTTGCTCCTCCTTCCCTTTTGTACCAGTAGTATCATATCCAGCAAATTAATTAGATATTACTTAATGCTTTTTTGTTTTTACTTGTAAAAGGCAGCCCATCATGGATACAGTCAAAAGTTAATAAAATTGTTGCTGATTGTATCAATTTTTACAGATAAGCCATTCACAACAAGCATAGTCTGGTTAATAAGAAGTCAATTCAGGCCTTGGAAACAGCACACAAGCTGAATGAATGGCTGCTTTTAGGCCCCTTTTTTCATTATAAATGGAGAATTGCAGCTCTCTTCTGTTGCAGCAGGCAGCGGAGGCAGAGTGGGGCAAACTGAGGTTCAGACAAGCCTGCCAGTAAATTGCCCTGAATGGGTTGTGGAGGTTGACAGGCCCTATTAAGACAAACGGTTCTCCTCATCGGAGAGATAAAATAAATCAGGTGTTTAGTCAAATTAAAATAGTTCTAGTGGAGAGGGCCCCCGGGAGCTCTCGGAGAAACTCAAGACAGATGTGGTCAGAGACGAAAGGAAGACACCCAAGAAAGAATTCAGCTTCTTCTTGGCTCCTGGCCAGACCTTCGCTGCACTGTTATCCGGATGTTGGCGCTGTTATCCTTGTTACTCTATGACCTCCTCTTTGTCTCTGTCAGTTTTTCTATTGTTTTTTTTTCTTTTCTCTTATTTCAAGATCAACTTGTCACGCAGGAGTGCAAGACGAAGAGAGTGAGTTACTGTCTAGCCTCTCACTGGCAATTATGCTGGCTGTGTTAGTCAATAGTAGGATCACTTAGCATTGATTAGGTGACGAGTGAGAGAGAGCGACAGAGAAAGTGGCTCAGTCACTTTCTCTTTTTTTAATACAGTGGCCATGAGGCAATGGAGAGATTTAAAGATAATTAGATTTTCTTTTTTATTTTCTTACACCCATTTAAAATTTTCGTATATTTATTAAATGCTTTCTTAGATGACTGTTAAATTTTATTTGGTCCACAAAGTACAGGATCAAGTCATGCTGTTTTGACAGGTTTGTGTGATCTAAACTCTACTCCATTCTGTTGGTGTGATTGTGGTCACATCTAAAACCTGTGTGCTTTTGAAGGCCAGTAGTGACTCTCAACACCTTCTCCATAATAACCCCTGGAAGTCTGACACAAGTGCCACCCCCGTTTTGACGGATCCCTGCAGCTCTTTGTCTGTGTGCCGGTAACAATTCCTTCTCTCTTTCTTTTGAAAGCTGTGAAAACAAGCCACAGCAAACTCGTAAACTCCAGGCTGTGTGTGACCTTAACATTTTCTGGTGAATACTCTGCAGTTGGTTTCTTCATGTGTGCTTTTCTTTGTATTAAATATTTTGTACTCTACAGTGACACAATGTGATGATTGGCTTGTCCAGCATGGATGCTTTGCTAAATTTAACCGTAAACAACTCAGGACCCTTCTGCAGCTTTTCTTCAAAAAATGTATCCCTTGTTATTAACTGATGACCAAAGCTAGCCCAAGATTTAATGGGTAAAAAATATAGAATATAGTTGGGACCTTCCAACTATTATTGCTAACTGCAGCTCAACTTAAATAATTTGTGATCAGTTTGTAATGTATTATTAAATTTACTTCTGATAATGTACAGTGAGGTTTAGGTATATATCTGTCTTTATAGCCAATATCATAGACATGAGTTACCAAATTGACTCCTACTGCTGCATTTCATAATAAATTATTTCACACATGTTGTAAATTTAAATGGGAAAAGCCCTCTTGATGTAATATAATATAATATAATATAATCCATCATACAGTAAACATCTCAAACTTTCAGTAACTCAGCAAAGTGCATGAAAAAAAAAAAATTAGAATATCATTATTAAATGTTCAACTCATTTCACAAAGGTGGCTCTTTCAGTAAAAAGAAAAATGTACACAGAGTAAAGTCACAGAATGGAAAAAAGTTATTTCATTGATTAAAAATTTTTTTTTTATAGGAATGATTAGTCAAAACATGAGATCTTTGTTTGATGTATTGAGCAGGACTTATTAGATCCTGAACACATTTCCAGTGTTATTTTTTGACTCACCCACTGCAATCCAAAACAGCGGTAGTCGCCTTTGTCAGAATAATACTGCTTATAAGTCTCCTGTCTCATCAGATTAACTGAAATTTTGGTGATACAAACACATAGGGGCTTGTATACCTAGATATAATCCAAATACCTCTTATCATAGCTGCACTGGTCATGCACCTTTGTCACATGTTTGTATTTGTGTGAATTGTTATAAACTGGGTAATTACATCCTTATATACAGGCAGTATTTGGAATCACAGGCATTTTAATATTTTGTTCATAATTTGTCCTCAGCAGTTGGCTAAATAAAGAGCAAAAATCCTCAACTAGAAAGCTCATTTTAAAGCAGTAACACCAATATGTTAAAATCACATTATAAACCTCACCTCTCGGATAATTTTGGTTCTACTGGGGGCCTACAGCTAGTTTATAGGCCTTGAGCAGCTGCTGAGTTTCTTTGTTCTTTTAGTTGACTCTAGTTGAGGCCTCCCTTTCAGGTTCTCAATTAGTTTAGCAGAAATGCATCAGAAATATCCTGCATTTAATTGTTGCCCCCTTTAACCTGCTCTGTACAGGTACTCCAGAGGGTCTGGCAGAAAAGGAACACCAGCTCTCCACAATGATCACCCAGCTGATCAGTCTACGAGAGCAGCTCCTGGCTGCCCACGATGAGCAGAAGAAGCTCGCCGCTTCACAGATGGAGAAACAGAGGCAGCAAATGGAGCTGGCTCGACAGCAGCAGGAGCAGGTAACTGCGTTGTGTCTTCCTTTTTAGCACGTTCGGGGATGTAATCACTTTCTCCTTTCGTCTGCGTCTGAGTTAACAGCCTGTTTACTGTCAACATTTTATCCTTGTTATTTACAACAGACACTGTCATTCCCCCTCCAATATTGTTTATTCTATTACCCTCCATGCCTCTGTAATAAACCTCATTAAATTCATTTGTAACAAATTGTCACTTAGATCTTGTTTTTCATGCCTGAGATGTGCCAATAAAAACTTGGAATGCCGAATGATAAGACGTTTAAGTGATGCTACACTCAATATTTCCTCCGATATTTCAGTCATGCTCACTCACCCACGTTTGTGCTGTTGCAGGAAAAACTGTTATTATGACTTGTGCTAACAAATGTGTGGCAATGTGTGAATTAAACATTATATTAAACATGGAAGTCCTCCTTATCTTATAAAATGTCTCCTATTATAACAAGCCGGGCATTAGATTTGCAGCACAAATCTGACCAATGAGCCATATTGTACAAATCAGCAAATTAGCACAGGCCATGAAGTGTGTTAATGTCTAGGAAGAAATAAGGACACTAACTATCCACACGGGCGACACTTTTATTATCACCAGCCACTCTAATGGCTATGAGTCAATTATCAGCAAGGAGTTCACTCAGAGTTTCCTCAGCACACTCTCAAGCTGTCCTGTAGTAAATGAAGAGATTTTCCATATACCTAGAAAAAATACATTTGGTCACAGTACACTAATAATACATTAACTGTATTGATTTTCTTTTTTAATCAATGATAGTTCTCTGCAAACTCCACAAGATCAAAAGCTTTGTAGACACAGCAGTATGACTGAGCAATACTATAAGGCATGTGATGTTATTCTAAAAAGGAGGAATATTAATATATTTACAATGAGCAGGGGTAGACAGAGAACCCGCTGAGAGCTAGAATGTCATCAAGCCATCAAGATACAACGCAGTAATTAACTGTTGACACTCGTGAGGAAACCAGCACAAATTAATTTTGACACATTTGCAGACGGCAGATATCTTACCGAGAACACTTTGTAATTATATATAAAATTGAAAATTAAATGACACTTAAAACCCAGTTGTCATGCTCACTGGAGTGAGCGTGTAGATGGAGGTGGGCGCTCAGATGAGAAAGATTGCAGCGAGGCCTCGCTTTCGCACAGGGGCAGCAGGGACCTCTGTCGGTCACACTTCGGCTGCACCGGGGATCTCCATCATAACCATGGTTGTCTGTTCTGTAAATCATTCATACCATTCACATACAAATGCACGCTCTGCTTTTCTACGCATGCAATTTTACATTGATTCGGAAGAAAACCAAATGGCTTATATTGGAATGAGAGACTCCTTCCAATACTAATGTGCTTTTTTTCCTCCCAGTAATATGCCTGTTTTATTGTCCATCAGCCTTCTGATATTTCAGCAAATACTGTGTCTTGCAAATATGTTCCCTTTGATTCTTTATAAATGTTGTCATGAACCACAATATATTATGAGTTTTACAGGAGAGACTAAGACATGTTTTTGCATGATTTAAAGTGTAGGATAAATGTCAAATGCTTTTCAAACATTTTACCAATAGAAATTTGAAACGTATGATGTAAATAAATGTACAAATTAACAGATTGTTGACCCGTCTTAGGTCAAGATTTTGTATTGTATTTGCAATGTCTCTGCATTATTCTTTGCAGACTAGTATAGGCTTGGTTAGATTGCATGAAGAGTATATGTAAGCAGCAAAAACTTAGATTTGAGGTCTGGGTTTTTACCAGGCCTCTCTAATACATTAGGATTATAAAGCCCTTAATAGAAACTCTAGCAGTATGTTTAGGCTTGTTGTCCTGGTGAAAAGGGGAACCTCAAACCCAGTCTAAAGTCTAATTCAGCTTATAGCAGGTTTTATTTCAAAATGTTCCTATATTTAGCTCAATCTAGCTTACCATCAACTCTGATGTCCATCCTAGAAAGAGAAAAATATGCATCCTTACAGAATGGGACAATGATTCCCATTGAAAAGTGAGTATGGTCAGGGGGATTTGCATAAGTGGTCTTCTCCAACCATTGCACTTTGCAATGTTGGCCAAAAAGTTAAACTTTTTTTTTCCAGCTATAGCATAACAATTACAATGTAAAATTAAAATATGTGACTTGTTTTTAATTTCTCACAAACACGTGATTCCAAAAAGTAAAAAAAAAAATCTGTTTTTTAATCTGCCTATTTTTCATAAAGATCAGGTATGTAAAGTGCAGACATCATTGGTTTCATATCAAAATATCTTCATTTGATTTGTTAATATTGGCAACTGCTGCAGAGTTACACTGTATTATGAGGCCACTGGTCTGCTTAATGCTCTCCTACTCCACCAAACCTTCAATTTATGTTGACAGCTTTTTTTAGGAGACATGTTTTGTGTCATGCTTTTTCTATTTTCAGATAAAGAAATATGCTACATTAGTTTTATTTTAAAGGCAGTTAGTTGCACTGGCTTTTGTTCAGGGATTATTTTAAAACAGAATAATAGCAATTTTATTTTATTTTTTAATCGTATTACCTAAAATCCAGATTGTCATTTCCTCTTCCCAGTATTTGATTATTGCTGCTGGTCATTAACAGAGTTCTATCTGATAAAGTTTGCATTTTTAAGGTTACAAATGGGTAAAAAAAAGTCAAAGGGGTGTGAATATTTGTGAAAGGGATTTTATTGACTTTATGGGAGCTGGCCTAAATTAAATTTTAACCTTTTAATGTTATCGAGAGGGGTGCACAAGTGTTACGCTATACGTTCCTTTTCTCATTTATCTCAGTTTGAGGGATTTTTAAATTTTCTCCTTTGCTTCTGTTTTCAACCAGATTGCACGACAACAACAGCAGCTTTTGCAGCAGCAGCACAAAATCAACCTCCTTCAGCAGCAGATCCAGGTCAGTGCATGCATTTCTGTTGGCCCTCCAAAACGTAGCAGCTTACGCCTCTTACTTTCTGATTACTGCAACATTTCTGCCTCTTCAAGGCAATTAGCCCACCAATGTTGCCACGGTGACTCAGATTAAACAGCATACGTGAGTAAAATCAGACATAAAAGTTACCCTAAATGGGATTTTTTTTGGTGCTATTTTTGTATTTCTTTCCCATTTATTTTTAAAATTTATGTCACACTAACAGTCATTATTCTCATCAAATGTTAATTGCCTATTGGTAATCAAGAGGGTTTTTAAAATATGGAGGTGAATAATTAGCACATCATAATGAACAAAAAAGAGGGGGTAAAAGTAACAACGGCTAATGAGTGCTGCTGAGAGAGAAGAGCCAGGAGGTGGGGGACATGAAAGAGGCTGGTAAATGCCTCTGAAATTAGTCAGCCCCAGAAGGGCAATAATACATGTTTCCATACAGCACACGGCCTGTGGAGACTTATATTTTCTTTATGCTCTGTTTGTGTCTTCATGGTTTACCTAAACTGATGCAAACATTTAAAGTTGCATATTTCATGCTCTTCCTTTCTGATAGTACCACACTATCCGATGTGGTGTACTCTCTTAACGAAGAGTTTCAGCAAAAGACCACCCAGTCAGCTTGCAGCTTGATCTGTTCCGACTGCTCAGGATGATCTGTGGTTGGTCACTCGCACTGGTCAAGGCTGTGAACTTGGCTGCCTTTGTGGAGCTAGTGTTATCCTGTTGGGTATGTTTGGTGTCAGGCACATCCTTCTCCATTCACCTCCTCCCTTACTTGTTCATCTAAGAGTAAACTCTCCCTATTCTCTACTTTCATTAAACATAACTTGGAAGCAAATTGCTCATAAAGTAACAACTTCAAGCACCTTGTTCAGTCAAATATTTATCATTTTTGAAGGAGTTCTTTTCTCTCACATGTTTTTACCAAGGAATTTCATTCTGAGAACCATCAAACTTCTGCAAAACAGTCTGGAGAGTATTTTAAGAGAAACAATTTACTCTTAGAAAACTCTTGAGAGTCCAGTAACCTTAACCTTTAACAGTCAAAAGTTTTTTGAAAGGTGATTCAATACTAATTTCCACTAAAACCTAGTAAAAAGCATAACACCAAAGAGAGTAGGAAAAACTCTTAAATTAAGTATCGTATCCACAAGTGATGGGCTACACCTTCTCACATTAGTGAGGGCCCTTCACTTATAATCATTCAACATCAGGGCACTGCTTTAAAATAATCACCCTTTTAGAACCTCTTGATTTGATCACAAAGTTAAAGAAATGACACCTGAAAATTCCACTTGATGCATAATATCAAAAGAGCTCAGAGGTTTGAGTGTATTGAAATGCTCCTCTGAATATCTATTTCAAACACTTGAGCAGAGATACAAGCAGAGTCCTACGAGCAGAGCCCAGATATCCAGCTTTTCCCCTTGATAAAATGTGCTTTGGATCTGACAGGATTAAAACACACACATCCACAATTAAATAATAGAATCCTGTGCTCAGACCATCTGTTCCACTATCTGCCAGCTTCCCCAGACTGTACTGGGTACATACCACCCAAGTTTTACCTTGTGAAACATTGTTTATGTAACAACAAGTTATTTAATCCAGAGCATGTGCTTTCCTCCACCAAACCATGCATTTTTTTTTTTTTTTGTCATGATGAGGTATTAAGGAAAGTATTTATTTGCAGTTCTGATTTCAATATATATACCTTTTGAAAAAGCTTCTTGGTTATTTTACTACATCTCAGCTTAGCTTATTAGTTCTATATACATGCATTTACCCTGCAGTGTGATTCACAGGGTTGAGAAATTTGGTTATTCTGCTTCTAGCATTAAAAACACTCAAATGTATTGGTAACCCTACTGCCATTAAATAATTTGTGTTTAGCTTAAGGTAAAATGCCAATGGAGAGGGTCTTGTTTAGGTCACCCAATTAAACCATGGAGATTCTAACTAGACACTGTAGTGGGCTCTATGTTTGCACTTTTCGAGGCCAAATCTCTCAGAAGTGTTTGAATCAAGCCAGTATAGAATTCAATTAAGTTTCCTTCTTGAATAGCCATTTTTTAATCCTTTCTAATCATGCCTTAAAAAGAAGGGGAGAGAGATTTAGTCTTTGTCCCACAGGATTACAATGTCACTTGTTTTAAGATAGCAGATTGAAGTGTTAGGAGCTTATCAAAAATTAAAGCTCAAGGCTTTGTGTGCTACCCTGTCAGAAACATTTTTTTTTACTTCATTAATTCAATCCAAGGATCTGATCAACTGCTTTGGTCAGACATTTGAAACACCATTCTGGATTTTTTTTTTTTATGATACATTCCACATCTCTAACAAATATATTAATCAATAACTTATTTGTGCTAACACATCTTTGTTTTAGTTTTTTTCTTTTTATTTAAAAAATATGAATTTTTTCCCACTTTTCATGCTCAGACTAAGAAATGCCAAATCTATTTGAAACATCTATGAAGTATGCTGACCTGCAATTTTTGCTGCTGTTATGTAGATGCATGCAAATAGTCATATACATCCAGAGAGCTTACTGTTTTGCTGTGCCTAGCAATGGGTAATGCACTCTATTACACACATCAAGAGAATAAATACGGGCTGAAAGGTCAGGGTGAACTTTATCTTCATAAACAGACAGGAGAAAGTAGAGCTCCCCAGATGAAACAGAGGAACACTTTTAATCCACAACATTTAATTTAAATGTGAAACATCATTAAATACTGTGCAAAAAAACCCACACTATCATGACATTGTTACTTGTCATTGACTTTGGCATTTCTGTTGCAACTCTGAGAAGACAGCTGGATAAGATCTTAAAGATTAAAAAAAAAACAAAATCTAAGGATGCTATTGTCAATAAGGTTGTGCTTGTTTTCAAAACCTTTTATGATAATGTGTTGGTTCTGCCTCTGTTTATTTCCCTTTGACCCCTTGTTCTCTTCCTACCCATGGGCTGGCCTTGAGACTCTAACCCCACTGCGTGTCTACACTCATTATCTGTGCCTGTACATCCTACCTTTAACCTTGTGTCCACAAGGATACATAAACACAGCGTGTGTCTATCTCTGCAGTTTAAAAAGGGAAACATGAGATTAAAGGAGAAAAAGGCCACTATATTGTTGTCCAGAGCACACTTCAAAGTCTCCTAGCTTTCTCACATGTCTTTAATGGTGTAGCGAGACAGTGGGGGTGCCTAAGGTTTCAAGATTTAAAAGAGGAAAATTAATTACACTAACATGCTCAAACAATTCATGAAATGGAAAAAAAACCATTTAGATTTTTAGATGCAAACCTACCACAATATAAGTTTAACCAGGCATTTATTTTAAAATTTAACCACACATTTCTATTAAGATATTATTTATGCAACTCTGACTGGTGGTAATACCTTAATATTATACCTTATTCACACCATCTTTTTTCTGTCCTTCACTTCCAGTGGCATTGAAAGATAAAACGGAATAGTGAAATAATGCCCTACATCATTCACCCTTGTTCATGTGTATTTTTCAAAATAGGACTGATCAAAACACAACACACATACTACAAAAACAACAGTAGCCTACGTCTTCAACAAGATCTGGATCATTTCCTCATGTTCGGATCTATATAACACATATTGTTATAATGTATAAATAAATTACAGTCCTTAAATGTCATAGAAAAATTTTTATGATTATTGAAAACTATGATGGTAGGTGTGTGGAGTTTCAGTGATGATAAAACTTGTGTTATTGTGATCAGCGTTATTGCTGGTGTCGGCTATCTTTGTCTAAATTTTGTCACTCTTGCGGTATACCTTAAGCAGTATGGTATGATTCTTGGGTTTTGTCCTTCCTTCATTGGCTCCATATGGGTCAAATGGAGAATTAATACATTCTCATGTATACCTATAAATGTCTCAGTTGCATTGCTCCCTTATAATTATTTGATTTCCTTCAGCCTTATGCTCTCGTTTCTACTTCTTTTTTTTTAGATATCTTCTGAAAACACATATCTATTCCTCTATCTTTAAAGATGTGTTTTTTGTTTTCAGTATTTTATTGCATTGTGTCCTATATTTTGTTGTCTTCTGTTTTGGGATTAATTTGTTTAAGCTCCCTTTAATTTCTGCCTTTTCTTTTATTGTTCAACACTTTGTTTATAGCCTGTTATTTCAAATGTGCTTCATTATTAGATTTGACTTGACTTGAGTTTTATGTTGCTTTTTTTTTATTTTCAATGTAAAAAGACGGCTGTGTTTCATTAAATGCACAGAAAAGCTTTCATCATGTGTCATCCACAATACATTTTAAAACCCAACTCTCTTTTTAGCATTATAAGAAAGATTTTTACGTGTCTAAGTCATGTTTTTGCCTTATCCCGAGCCATAAAACAAAGGGTGATAACGAAGTTTCTTGATTCAAGCGTTTAGGCTTACTTAATGAGCTGCTTAACCGGAACAAAACTGCCACATTGTTAAGTCATCTATTCAGTATTCTAAATTTAATACAAAGCATTTGAAAAAACTTTTTATAGTTCTAATGAAAAAAAAAAATTCTCTATAATCCAGTCATTTCATTTTCTTGTTCTGTTTAATTATTATTTAAAAGATATATAGTTCCTTAGCTGCACAGCTATAGAAAATGTTTTAAATCAACCAGATGGGTCAAAATGGACGTGGATCTTTTGGGTACAAACAATAGAAATAACAGCTCTAATTTATGTATTCTACAAAATACTTTGGATTTATTCTTGGTTAAACCTATTATCTCTATGGGTGGCTTCTGTGGAGTGACAAAAAAAAAACAACAAAACTCCATGAAGAACAATGTTGAAGAGAATGCCTCCAATTAGAACGGTTAGAGGGGAATTATAAGTAGGAAAATGACAATGTGTATATTCACTATGAGAACATGTGTACTGTTGTGTAAGCAGTCCCACGATTCTTTTTCCAGTTACTATTCTTG